TGTAATAATAGTATGAGATGATTGGTAAATTAAATAATGATGACATACAAACAAAAATGATGCGATAATAATATAAAATAATTGGATAAAAATGTAAATTAATGCTATTGGATAAAAATAAAAAAATAGAAAAGTAAAAATAAAAGAAAAAGTTTTAAATGAACATTACTGCGCTAAAATATAACGTGATATAACTGATGAAAGGTAGAATGGTAACAATACTAGTATTTGAATAATGCACTGGTAATCTGGTAAAGATTTAATTTCTTCTAGATTAGGATTTAGTAGCATCAAAATTTGTATTTGTTTGATATAGGAGTAAATATACAAAAATAAGCTAAAAAAATTTTAGTGAGCAAATTTGTTTGCTGAACAATTTAAGGGATAATTAATTATTTAAGCTTCTGAAAAATCAGTATTATATTATTATTTTATTTGCTTTTAAAAAATATAAAACTTTGATTCAAATTATAATGATTATTAAAAGTTACTGATAAATGCTTAAATATAATTATAATTAATCTCATTTTGATTGGTTTATACAAATTCTTATTGAGCAATTGGTACCAGATTTCAATATAAAACTAACTTAGTTTTATACAAATTGTAATTTTCCAGTATAATAAGAGATTTTTAAGAATTAAAACAACTACAAATATCATATTTGACATAAACAAAAAATACCATATTGATGTAATTAACTAAATATGTTCTTGTTTAACATATATACATAATTCTTATATTCTTTGCAAGAATTTAGTTGCAATATCTTTCTTGAAAAACAGAAAAACACATCTAAGAATAAATCAACAATTTCAACAAAAATATTCAGTTCACAGTTAAAAAAATAAAAATTTTGTAAATATGATTAAAAATTAATAGATTGGGATAAATCACATAACGTGTTTGCTCTGATTAATAAAGGAAACATATTAGACATCAACACTAGATACAGCATATTATGCAAATGATTCAATAACTAAACTCTAAAATTACGAATTACACCTGTATTAACAAAAAAATGATAAGTAAATATATCTTATATTGATTTACAATGAATTGAAGCTTTTAAATTGCATATACCTTGGCAGCCTTGTTAGATTTTTTCGGCTCTTCGAATTCAGAAGACTCATCATACTGAGGAATTACGACCTTAATTGCGTTCACAAGATCTTTATTTACTACTTCCCTTTCCGGCATATCTTGTCTGCAAGTAGGGCATGTATGATTATTATATTTCATTGCGCGTACTAGACATATTTTACAAAAGTTATGCTTGCATTTAGTAGTAACAGGTTGTTGAGCCAGATCTTGACAAATAGCACAGCAGAATTCTCGCTGAATTGCTTCAATGAATTCCGACTCGGTATAAGTTTCAGCTTCCAAAACAATTTTCCAGACTCGAGTATTTTTTTTGTCCTTTTTGATTAGTGTTTTGAGATCCTTAGAAGGAGTGTATCGCTTTTTGAGTTTCTTGGGCTTTGGTGGGAACGACGACGACGACGATGTTGAAGATTTTGATTCGTCTTGATCGTTGTCATCTTCACGCTGGCGTTTCGTTTTTTTCTTCTGGATTTCCTCGGGAACGTATATTTCTAGACTCAATTTTTCAATTAAGGCTTTGCCCTCCTTAGTCCATGGTGCAGGCTCGTCATCATCTCGTCTCATTAGATATCGCCAAACATAGAAACCAGAACGCCCTTTCTCTTTCCAATACTAATAATGCATAATAAGTAATTTTATACATTAAAGCACCATAAACTTACACATTTAACTAATCATGTTGTTTGTACTTACTTTAACTAATTTATAAATACCATCATATCGGTACCCTTGTTCAGGAGCATACTTGGAATTATGTTTCTTTAATTTTTCACCTCGTACAACTCGAATTTGCAAACTTTTTCGCCAATCTTTAGCCGTTGCGCCTTTTTCGCTGATAGGTGCATCACAAGTCCGCGCAAGCGCCAAATTAGTTTTATCGAGTTTCTGATCCGAGGTTTGTTCTGCCACTCTTTTATTTCCCGTTTTCAAATCCCTTCCACCGGCGCCTGTATAAGTGAATGTATCTCCGTTGTCTTCGTCCTCAGGGTAACCACCAGAAAGGGCAATAGATACAGCACCGGTAGCAGCACCACCAGCTATCCCGGAAACGGGAGGTCGATGGATACCAGATTCGGAACAATTTATGCGGTAAAGCCATGAAGAACCAACTGGTACACCAGGAATTTTTCCCCTAAATTTTGGACCGACTATAGTACATTCTTTCTCACGACCGACGCATGCCATACCACGTCCCCAAGTCTTTTCTTGTGTTGCAGAAGGCATTTTTGATTTTTTTAATTTGCTTAGGTCTAGTTTTTTCCCCGCGGTTAAGACTTCTTCGTCATCGTGAACGCAAAATTCGCAGAACCTTAAAAATCAAACAAAGATAATGGCTTTTCGATTAAAAAAACAATATAGGTTTAAAACCTATATAGGATAAATCAATAATAGAAAAATACCAGTTATCTGCTGGAAGTTCTGTGATTACGGGATCCAAGCAATACCAATGATAAATGTACTGACACTCATCACAAACAATTGTACGTTCCTCATCATTCTTTTTACCACATCGATGACATCCACATTCCTTACACTTTTTTCTATTGTTGTTGCTACAGTCATCACAATAATAGTCTTCTTCCCCAATTGCTGTAATATTTTCACTAGTATTTGTGTCGATTTCAGAGACGAAACTTGTGGAAGAACTCGTGACAACGGGTTCTTGAGAAGTGGTAATTGCGGCAGGTTCATCAATCCTTATAAACGACAACGCCTCTTGAATAGGAAGTGCTTTTAAGGTCACTTGAATGGTATGTTTGTTTTTTATGTCGTATTCATGTACCGTGTTTCGGTCTTCTAGTTGTTTTCCACCGTAAAAAAGACGAAGACGGTCCTCTGGAAATTCTATGGGCCCCAATTCTTGTGAGATAAGGCTTCGTATCTCTGCAATGTCCTGTCTTGGAATTACCTCGATAGTCGCCTCTCTGTTGAAAAAGGGGGCTTTGACTACAATAATCATTTTTTTAGATTGAGTTTTAAAAATTACCGGATCACGACTTTTAATTTTGACAAAAAAATTGTATATTTAGTTAGATAAAACGCGTAGCTGTTGAAGTTGCATGAATCTCCTTATCCAAATTAGTCGTATTTTGCCGCGCCATGCTACTCGTTACAGTAATAGAACATCAAATACACGAAACATTTGGTTGTAGCCACATGGGATTTTACCAAATCACTGAAAAGATTTACCGAATCACGTGATTTCAGAGAATTTTTATTGGAGCATCAGATCAAAAGGGGCCAACAATCGTACATATGAAAAAAGTAGTTTACAAGTTAATATAGAATGGTATTTATCATAATTTAAATTACTTGACTATTCACGTGCACGACGATTGGAAGTGATAACTAAAAGAAAGCATTTGGGACAATGTGTGTTGTAAAAATGACGGAAAGGAGACGAATCACTTATACAAAAGTGATTCGTTGCTTTCGAAGAAACGATATCTGATAGTTTCTTATAGGGTAGTTATTGATTAAGAAATACATGCCTTGTAAAACCCGCTGAATGAGACAGAATTCCTATTTTTGTGTGTGTAAATAATAAAAAGCTCTTCATCAAATTCTGGGTGGCAATAATGTTAACGAATACATAAAAGATAATTGAATTTTTGTTGCTAAACTAATAATCATAGTAACCGACGACAATTTTGCAAACGTGCGTGATAAACGAAATATAAAGTATGCGATTTCAAAATCTGTTTGGCACCACCAAAGAAAAACGGCACTGAATTAAAGAAATCAATGAAAAATGCAATTTTACCTTCGTCTGGAACATATAAGCTGACAGATGTAGAGCCTAAGTATTTGATATATAATTTTATAGTTAATATGAAATATCACTATGATTTATATTTGAAATAAAAAAATTGTCAGTATAACTTTGAATTGAAATTTGTTTAGTAGTAAAGATTCGACTAATACTAATGTAAGTTGCATTTAGACGGATTTCTTGTTCTTTCTTTGTTCATCTCCTCATCAATTTCTGTCTTTCTAGTTTAAGACGCTCATTGATTTCTTCATGTGTTTTAGGATATTCTAAAGAGCCGTAGTATTGAAAACGCAAAGCAATCAGTTCGTTGTTGTCCGCTGGATAGTTGATAGAGTCGATAAAACCATAAAGCAGTTTCTGGAATAGGATCTCAATATTTTTCAATAATAAATTTACACCATCCAAGAATATCTTTGAACGTACTCTTTGATGAATGTCAACTACATGGTTTTTCATTTAGCACTTCTGGACTAATATAAGGTAGAGTTGCTCGTAATTCATCTTGAGAGTACTCCGTAAATTTCTTTGCTGGACTGGAAAGTCCAAAATCAGCAATGAAAATACGTACATGGTGCATTTACCATCCTCTTCATGAATTTTCTGATGTCATCGATAACCTTTTATTCGTTTGTAGCTGGGTTTCTAGTTATTTCATAATTAATATAACCATCGCTGCACTTTAAGAATGTCTTAATCTATTTTTTAAATAAAAAAACATGCTCATATCTTTCAGAACGTTAAATTTATTTTTTTTCATGATCCCACTCGTTGTAATAGTACAACCATTCGCCAGACCATTCAGTTTTGGGTGCTTCTAAACATCTCTGGAGATGCTTAACTATACATATCAGATTATGTATACATAATACAAGGCTACTATCTAAAAAGTAAAATAATATGATATAAGATTCAACTTTTTTATCTAGCCTTTGATTTAAGCTACGTATTGATATTAATGATTTAATATAATACTTACTGTAATTCAAGAATTTCGATAACATGTATACTATTATTACACATGTATATTTGCAATAATATCGCTAGTGCTTTTAAAGTTCTTTCATTTAATTAAATGCATGATTCCAGATAGAATCTCTCAAGAATCACCAACTTCATAAAGCTCTTCCTGTTATCATTAAGGAAAAAATTAAAATCTATTCTATCAATTGGAATTCATATTTATTGATGTTAATTTTTATAGTTTGCACCACTCGAAACAAAAAGGTCGGATCACGTGCTGATTGTGGCACAAACCAATAAAAATGCGTAATTTTTGATCAGCCCGGCAAAACAAATCCGGCGCAAGAAAATGAAAAAAGCAAAAAAAGTAAAAAATACGGGAAATAAATGCCTAAATCCAGCTTGGTACACTAAAAAAAAGAGTTGGGAAGACAATTTTACATATAATCTTGACTCTAGCTCTAACCCTAACCCTAATCCTAACCTTTAAATTAACCTTTAACAATAACCTATATTATCGTAGAATTTTACCGGACAACACAAATATCACATGATCCGACCCTTTTTTTGCCATGGCTAGGGTACTACCACTTCGATACACTTCATAATCCGCGATATCAAAATTCTTTTTGTGTTCCGTCAGAACTCAACAAACCATGGTCGTAGGAGTGTTCCACACAGTAATTTTTAGAAGTGTTGAAATCGGGACCAACCAAAGTTAAATCATTACAACCTCCAAAACGCGGACCAGAATTATTATCATTTACATGGAAGCACACAGTGCTTGCTTCTTTAGAACTCCATTGATAGCTTTAATGTCATTAGAATTAAAAAGCACGAATGATAACCATGGCAACGACTGTTGGTCCTTTATCGTCACACAGACGATGATCTTAAATCCTTCACGGCTACCTCGCAGTAATAGCTTACATTCAATTGATTTGGTTTTCTGACTATCGTTTTGTTCTTTAATCCAATCAACAATTTTAGAGATCTGATTATGCGAAAGTATTGAACCGTCAGTAGTTATGAGATTGCGAACTGTGTGTAAAGTAGCCATATGTTCTTCACTTCCTGGCACCAAATAACGATGTAATAAATCTTTATATAGTGTTTCTGGCAAAATTTTAGCATACGGCATAACTTTGTTATAAAAATCAACCGAATTGATGTGGAAGAAACGAATAAACGGCAAACAATTTTTGAGCATAAATTTGAGTTGTTTAAATTCGTTATGTGTCCAATTTTTCGCTGGGATCGTTAGATCAATTCCGCCTGTATCAGTTTGAGAGATTCCCCATTCAAGCACCTTTTCCCAAGGTCGATTTCGTTCAAATTTAGGTCGTCACGTTTTGGTAAACAAACTAAAGCTGATTCATGTAGCTTGGTAAAATCAGTTGATTGAAAAATAGCAGCTGGATCGTGACTTGCGACGTCCGTGCAAAATTTGTGAAGCTTGGTAAAAGAGTTATGCTCGAATGCAATTTGATTGATTAGATAACAACTTTCTGTTAAAGATTGAGAACGGTATTCGAGAAGATAAATTTGGATATATTCAATCAGATCCTCGAGAATCAACTCATCGGCTGCGACTAATAGATCCAAAAGTGTCGAAAAACTATGATTTCGTAAATCGATTTTGCCACGGTACTGAAAGTTTAAATGGACAATTGCTTCATTACCGTTAATAATATCGCTTCGGTTCTCGCATCAGAAAGTGCAGTCGCAAATATTGCGAATGCGCCACCAATATTGTCGAGTGGACGTTGAATCTACTTAAGTATGAAGTCAATAACAAGTCGGGTGTCATTTTATATGTTAATAGTAATTCTGATGTTTTATCGACTTCCAGAATGTATATCGATATTGATATATATGTATATTATTGTGTTGATCCAAATACATGTACATGTACATGATCTGATAATTTAGCATTACATATATCTCTGGCTTTGTTGACAAAAAATCAAGAAACAGCTTCTGGTATTCTAACAATAAATGTTCCTTGCGAAATTTTGCATTAGACGGTATCGCTCTAATGGTCTCATAATCGTAACTTTCGCTCGCGCGAAATTGTCTTTTTTCGACCAAATGATCCCGTGGCGATTGTTCGATCAACCAATCAACAAGCATCACAGTATCATTGAGTTCATTCTAAAACTTTGAATGTTTGGTTAGATGATGTACATGTATTAACTTTAAGAGCCTTTTATTATTTAGATCTGCAGTTGATTTTTATGTACCAATACATGTACTACATTAATTACATACGTATATCGGTATCTCAAGACTATATCCGGTATCTTAAATCCGGTATTGATATTTATTTATTGTTAGTAATCAAAACTTTAAAATGATTTTGAATCATCTATTATATGATCAAATAGAATCATGATATAAGCTGCTAAAATTATTTTGGCTTTTTTACAATTCAAAATCAGCGAAAAGACATTCATACATATTCTCATTTAATAAAAAAAGTTAATTGAATGGTAGTGTCATTCTAGAGAACTAATGCCTCCAAAATGGCGAGTTTTTACGCATTTGTGTGTGAATTAAAATAGATATTACTGTATACAATATACGGAATTTTTTACCAAAAAATGCCTGTACCCGGAGGTATTTAAATGATAGAGTTATAGAAAATATAAAGTTTTTATAACTATAAATAAATTGAATTGAAAAGGGTTAATGATTTCGTAAAATTTTCTATGTCGCAATACTATTATTTCGGATGGTAAGTGTGTGAAAGCGTCTCGAGGACACGGATTTCCCTTAATTAGAAGATTTATAATCATATTGAGATACTTAAAAGGGGAAATTTTCATTGTGTAAATTTTTATTTTTCCTAGATCTTCTTTCTCATGTAAGAAAGAAGATACTGTATTTTAAGTATCTATTTGTTCTAGAATCATTCCAATTAAGATAAATTTACATCTTTTATCTTTAAGTCGTGAGACTCAAACTAAATCATATGACTTATCCACAAATGTTGACCAATCATAAATTACAATTGACTCTCGAAATCAAAATCTTCCAGGAAGTTGTAATAAACCAATTTACTAAATAAACCGAATTCTGCCAATAGTTCCGACACTTCAGTTTATTGATGGTCCATTGTGTGTTGTGTTATCATATGAACGTAGTAGGTACCTTTGAACCAATATAAATTGGAAATGATAAAGTGTTTTTGAAAGGGAATCCGCGGATTTGTAAAAAAGCTAATTACTACAATGTGGCATCTTGTTACCTTATTAAAGTTTAAGTGTCATGAATTTTAATGCTAACAAAGACGTCCTTATAATTCTAATTCACATATAGATTTTAATAATTAAATTGATGTAAAATATCCATTAAAAAACTAATGAATACCTCTAAACCTTAACCTTTTCATTGGTAAATCGCAAACAACAAAGAAAATAAGAAATGCGGGGAATCCAGTTTCAAAGAAAGAATTTTATACAATTTTTAATGTTATATAATACATACACTTCATGCACCCCCACATCACTTTATTTTTGTGTGTTATTGCAAGATCGTTAGTGAATCAAAGATTATTTAATCCTCGATGATGCTAGAACCGGTTTTAGATTCTTCTAATACCTCGTTCATGTAATGGAGAACCAACCTACATCGTTACACGTTAATGTATACAGTAATAGCATGTACATATTTCTTTGATGTGTATCACTTTAGAACGAGAAATCTTCTGAAAGAATGATGCGATGTAAAAATTTTTTTTTTGAATTCATATTACCAATAATAATTCATACGTACAAACAACTGACATATAAAAAACCAAGTGTGTATACAAAATATATATTATATATATTATATTAAAAAACAGTGAGAAAATAAAATATATCTTAATAAAAAGTCCATATATATATTGAAAGGTTGGTAACGACTTTTTCTTTTTTTTTTGTTAATTTTAGTTGAATAAAACATAATCACTTTTAGACCGCTTCACGCGTTTGCATTCGATCTCTGAATCGAAAAACAATTAGAAAACAAAAAATACGGTGTATTTTTTGTTGATATAAAATTGTAAATTCAAATTAGAATTACTCAAGACGAAGGTGAATACTCGCATACACTAATAAAGATGAAAAAAGCTTTTTTCTATTTTTGACACGTCTTTTACTTATAATAAAGGAGTGCTACTATTTCAATTATCACAAACGCACACAATAAATTCATGAGAATGTCAAATAGAAATTATTCTTTAAAAGTTGCAAACGCAGCGTCATCTTCAACGATTTATCGCGCGAAGACCACTTATAATGTAATTCCAACATATATCGAAAATCGACCAATTGTCAACTACCAAACCATCTCAACTTCCTCATTAAATCCAAGTGAAACTTTACCAGCATACAGAGCACAACAACACCCCAATACATCATTTAAACTAGTACACAGATCACAACTAGTTTCCAATACAACAGACACAACTACACAGACTAGATCAAAACACATAATAAATTTTATCATTTTCGTCCCAGTTATAATAATATTCGTGTTAATGTTGATCGGTACACTATCATTTATCTATCGTAAAATGCGACAATGTCAAATACAAAAGGATAACCTACAATCAATGCTGGAAATCGAGGTGATGACTCCTAATTTACAAATCGGAAAAGTGATTGATGGGAGACGGGTTAAAAAATTGAGCATGCCACCACCAAAACAAAGTAAACAAGTATCGAATTTTGCAAAGATACAAGCTCAGTTCAGACAACGATGGAGAAGTTTGGGAAGTTTGGGAAGTATCGATAGCACCGTTCGTAATAATGCTGGTAGTAGTGTTAATGCTACTAATGATAATAGTAAGGATGTAATGATATACGTGGGGTTTGATTCTTCGAGATATGTTGGCAAAGAAAGTGGTGATGATAGTATCGTCATGACTACGGACAAACGTCAAAACGAAGCTAATGTGAAGGTAGAAACTACGGACGGACACCAAAGCGAAGCAAATATGAAGATAGAAACTACGGACGGACACCAAAGCGAAGCTAATATGACGGTAGAAACTACGGACGGACACCAAAACGAAGTTAATATGAAGGTAGAAACTACGGACGGACACCAAAGCGAAGCTAATACGACGGTAGAAACAAGAGAAATGCTAAAAAGTGCGGAATTTAAAGCTAGAATCATTGAATTATCAATAGATTTGCGAAAAAATGGTTTAAAGCTTCAAGAATCCTCTTTGTCCGAAACGAGCGTCAGAGATGTCTAATGCAAAATCATTGAGATCATAACGATAACGATATACATGCATTTAACCTTCATTTGTCCGTGTAAAAATAAACATATCGATAGCTTAACGTCGTTATAAACGCAAATCTACACATAACACAGTCGATTTGATTGAATAATGTTTTAGACTAATTCATTAATTTAATAAAGTTCATGTATAAAGTAGTTATCATTTTCTTCTTTTGATATCTCTTCATTCTCTTTGATTTCATGTGGTGTACTTAAATCGAGATTAATATGACAAGCAATTTTACCTTCGTCTGAAACATACCAAAACGAACTAACACTTATGAAACGTTAATATAGTACCTGTATCATTTGGAATTGTGGTAAAGATTGACAGGTATAACTGCATTCGGCAATTTTTTATTTGTACGAAATCTTTTTTGACTAGTCTCCTTACCTAATTCGTCTTTCTAGTGTTAACGTTACACACAATCGGTATGCATTCATACACAATTGTGTGCTTTATCGTTAAAAGAAGAGAACTCATTGTGTGTAGATCGAAAAGAAGCATGTGTTTGCTGACGTCAAAGATCTAAAATCAATGAATGACATATCTATTTAATATTACATGTGATAATTTACTTTACAAAGAGTAATAAAATTGTGCCGTGTGTATAAACTAATCAATGTTTTTTTAATAAACGATTTCTTTTTAAGATAAAATTGACTGACTTATCATATAGCAAATTGTCATTTAATGTGCCAACACTGTTATTCTGTGTCATTTTAATATTGATATAATTTAATAAGAGCAATCTTATCCTAGACCAATTGAAATAACACGTGATTTGTTATTATATGTTACTACGTACTCATTAAATAAATGTCAGCATTATTGCAACTGTCTATCTAGCTCCGTATAGACATTATCGCGGTCAAGCTTTCTTTAATATCTCTGTAAGATGTGACTTATAAAAAACATTTTTTTTATATATATCTATAGATTTTATGCATATTTCAGCGCGCCTTAATGTACATTGTCGCGTATTATTTAATAAACAGGACCAAACACACGATCAAGCACCAAATCCATCCCAACAAAACAAATCAAGAAGTAAAAGACAGACAGTACCCAGAACCACCAAGAGATCGCTCCGAAACAGGATGCTATCGAAACTGTCGTATTGGGAGTTAGCAGATTGGTGCAGGCGATTAATAAGCATGAGAGTATTACGATTGATGAGATCGTTAACGCTGTTTTTATGTTTATTCGATATTGGAATTAATATTTAATATGAATTTGCTTCTTTTATGAGAAATAACATTCAAACTTTTATTTACTTGTTTGCACAACGTAGCGCCAGCAATAATCAGCGAGCCGAGACGTGAGTAATTCATTAGTATTATCTTTGTTATCATGAGCTAGTTGTTGTTTTTCCTCTTGTTGCTCTTCTTGTCGCTGTTGTTGTTCTTCTTGTTGCCCTGCTAGATTTCTTTTTCCGAATAAAACCAACAACTTATTATTATTCTGCATACCTACAAGTCAGATTATGGATGAATTCACTTACTTTATTACAGCAGACATTTATTCTTCTGTTTTGTATTCCTTGAATCAATTAAATATTTTTATTTGCGAAATAAGTATATTTTTGTAGTGATAAATTAAGAAATACGCTTTACTGATATCTATCAGTGGGTAAACTAATTATTTTTGCTGAGTAATCTGCGAATCATTAGGCTGAGATCTGCACGGGGTAAACCGATGGCAGGGACCCGGAAAATCTTCGATTTCATTTTGACATCAAAAATTTGGATTTTGCCAGCATTAAGAAATTAGGTTGTAATTCAAACCAAAGCACGTGACTAATAAATAATAAACAAATTGAAATTCTAATGTCAAATCAATTAAATAATGTGATTTATAGCCAATCATTGTAATCATGTGAAATATTTGGCTAACCTGGATCCAAATTTTCCCGGGCGAACGATGGTTCTTCGATCCGTCCAAGGATCGAATCAACATTGTCTTTCACGAAACGAATGAAAAGGACCATCGGTTCAATATATAAGAATGTGTTTGATATTTGATTCTTGCCATGTCAAAAACAAGGACCAGAAAAGACTGATGCTATTTTTATGCAGTTCATGAACATGGAGAACATTACGGTGGATTTTGCGTAATGAATTTACCAATCTTTGTTTTCATTGATTATTATTTACTATATATTGTCGATGTTTGTCTATATTCAAAGATTGGTTTTCATAGTAAATTCATTACGCAAATCCGTCGAGATGATAGACATGATTCAAGAGGCTGGAAAATATTAATAATAATATATTTTTGGTATAGAGATGGTATTTAAAGTTCGGTCCCCATCGATCTGGGGACCACAGTTCGGTTCAGTCTTTCGAAAGACCATTGGACCGACTGATTAACAGCCCTAGGCAGGGTACCCATAATTTTATGCTTTTAATTTGGTTTTACCGAATCATCCGGAGCACTAATCTGTTTTGGTAAACAGAAAAGTGTTAGTTCAACAAATTAATGCTCATCGTATTAATTGTTAAAAAAATAAAATCAAGCATATACTAAAATTACTGTCTTCAGACATTAAATTTCGCATCTCGTTTTCGTGACGCTTTCTCTTTGTAAAAATTTAAAAGTATAAAATATACATGTACAAAGTCGGAACGAGATTCTGTGGATTAGGAATCTAAAGTTGATTCGAGACCCACTCAGGTGGACGTAAAAATAATTTTACGTCCCGAATATTATTGTTCACATTGTTATATGAAAAACAATTGGGAATTCCTATAATCTTTTTTAAATACTTCCTTTTGAGCTGAAACGCCAAGGCTAAAAGATATTATGGTGCCGGAAATCATAACTCAAAAATAAAATCTTTCAACACTTTACAAAAATGAATTTAGAAAAATCAAACCAGTAACTTTATTCTTTAAGCTAAGTTATAAGCGTTCAAACTGGGTCACCTTGAAACAAATCACGTGAATATTTATCACATGAACGTGATCTTATTGGTTGGCATTCATTATAATTCAGGTCGGCATTATGCTAATGCTTAATATCATAGTGCCAGCCCGAATTATCATAATATAAATCATGTAATAAATAAAATTGGTTTGCATCATTTCACATGATTAAAATATTGGTCGATTATAAAAACGTGACATTAGGTCGCCACCAGAAAACGCTTAGGACAGTGCATAATCACGTGATTCCAAAAACCACGCGCACGTGATCACGGAAAATTGACGTTAAAGATTATTTTATCGTTTGAATTAGAGTTGACATTTTTTAGTATTTCAAGCTAGATTTTCACATTTGTTTTCCATATTTTTCACATTTTTATTTCCTTGTGTCAAAGAACACGTGATTCCGCACTGTCCGAGACTTCCCGACCAGAAAATTAAAACAGAATCACGTGATTGTCGAGTTATGATTTCCGTCACCATAGCAAACTAATTTTACTAAATACTACGTATAACGCTATGATTAATTCATCAATTTGCGCTTTGCATGGTATCTTTTTATATTTTAATTCTAGCTTCATTCTCTAGTGAATAATTTTTCATGTCCAATGTTTTCTCATGCTTCTAAATATCTTTGTATGTTTTGAGGACTTTCTTCTCCAATATGAGTCTTATTTTTCTACGGGATTCACTTAATTCATGATTTAAAACCGCGAAATTGTATTTGAAGTTATATTAAGATCTCATAAATTTTATATTTAGGATAAAAACATCACATCGAAGGCATGTATATAAAGTACTATACAAGCCAAATTTAAAGTTTGGCTTTTGAATAAGAAAAAATCCGAGTAGAAAGATTTTTTAACACTTCCAATATACCTAGTATACTAGTTTGATTTGAATCCAGTTTTAGTTTCTATTTTAAAAGTCATCTACTAAATTAGTAAAATTCAACTTCGTACAGTCCCCGGCGAAAGTAATGGCGGCCAATTTTTTTTATTATATTTCATTTAATTGTATAATAAAATTAAAAAAAATTATTTTAAAAGTGCCTCTGAGTAGAGCATTATGCTCTAAAATATCAGTATTTGGTGTGCTCTCTTTCCGTGTCAATGCAAATTCGGATATAATTTAATGTTCTAAAAATTTTGTAACTTGAACGTTTTTAACTACAAAAAACTAAATTCGCAATAACTCTATAAATATTATTCTGATTAAAATGAATTGGACCAAAATTACCAAATCTGATCACTGATTATTGAGAAAATAAAGTTTGAAATGTTAAAACCCTGCAATCGGGAAAATAACTCGCCGTGATGTGCTCCCGCTCCTATTAGATTTTCGCAAATTCATCACTGGTATTGCATATAACAATCTCACCGCCATTACATTCGCCGGTGACTGTATTAATGGTTTTGGTTTTTCGTCATATGATATTATCCAAATCGTATAGTAGACTTTATAAAATTCGTTTTTATTAATATATTAGGCTGCTCAAAATTGATAGCTTTAAATTATTTATTATCAATTTATTATCACCATGAGGATCAAAATACGTAGCTCAAGTTTTTAAGTCGGATCAGATATTTCCGAATTTTCAGACATATTGGCCATTCCTCAATAATAAAAAGAATAATATATGTTTAATTACGAGAAAATAATTTAATGCTTTATTAATACGGATTTTTTTTAAAAGATTATAGGTAACAGATATCGATCTGGTTTCAAAGAAGTTATATTGTTCAAGATGTTAAATTAAGTATTGCTCTGATCTAAGAAAAATTTCAATATTATCTTTTGTAATGTAGCCCTCTTAATTAATGTATCAAATAAATCCACCTTCATTACTTAACTGGTTCATCTAAATTTTTTGATTCTTGGATAATTATGATCAGCATTACCACATGTACGTACTTGTTCATTTTTAGGAGTACGTATCCCAATGATAAAGCACCAGAAAAAAATGGCGATAATATATTTGGAAAATAATATGTTCTCTTAAATCTTTGCTCTCGGATATTATTTCTATTTGGTCTTTGTTACGTACGCCAAATTTGGTTGAAGAATTCCAAACGCACTTAACATTTGAAAATCATCCAATACGTATCGATCTCTAACTCGCGTATGCATATATGCTAAATAATATATTGATGTCGATATTGTTACATGTATACCAATGGTACGTAGTTTGTTTGTATTTACTCTTAAAAGTCCGAGTTAAGAAATCGCATTTGTCCAACAAAGGAAATAATATGTTACGTATTGTGTTAACATATCAAATGGCCGAATGCATGCATTACAGATTGCTACATGTACTCGAAAGATCAACATCCACGAAAGAGAAATAATTGTATAAAAGAGCCGCGTCTCTTCGTTCAATTTGATTTTTCGTCGCAAATTCAAAGAGTTGCTTACCAAGAAAACCTCATTTCTTCCTTCCTTCCTTCCTTTTATACACTACATTTTTTAGGATACAGACTGGTTTCTGTATCGTATTGTAGTCTTTTTTTTTAAGAAAAAACTTTCGTTTAAAAAAACCCTAAAAAATACAACCTTTTTTTCCGCACTCCTAAACAATTTTCAACACATCCGCCCGAATTACACATTAATCTTACTAAAAAAATAATATATAAAATGAAGGTTTTTACAGCGTTAGCTCTCTTGATGGCAGCTATCTCGTTAACCGCCGATGCAGCACCCACGTCGAAATCATCCGTAATCACAGTTGACATAAAGAAAAATGATTTACCCGCTTATTTTACTTGGTACCAAAAGGCAAAGATTGATCAAAATCGTGCTCTGTTGAAATATTCGAAAAATATTCAATCAGCATACAGTCATGGTTTAGTTGGTCAAGAAGCCATCGTAAAATTAGAAGCTGCTTCCACTCCAGTATTCGGTGATTCCGCACCGAAAGCTTTCGTCATTCAAAGCTTTAAAGGAAAGACTGATAATAGTACCAGCGATACTGGAAGCAATGATCCACTTGGAGACGAACCATCTGGTGACAAAAATGGCAGTAAAGGAAAAAACGGCGACGGTAGCAAGAATAGCGGCAAGGATAGTAGCAATCCCGATAAAAATACTCTACCTGACAATTCCGGCAAAGGGGTTGTCAATAATCCTCTTAAAGATCAAGGAATGGATATTGGTTATCACGGTCCAATTCAAATTTCTGGCCAAACATTTAATGTAATTTTCGATACTGGTTCATCTGACCTTTGGGTACCTGCACAACAATGTACTGATGCAGCTTGTAAAGCTCATAAAACATTTGATCCAAAAAAAAGCAAAGGATTCAAAAGCGATAATAAACCATTTGAAATTCAATATGGTACAGGTGCAGTTTCTGGAGTTATTGCAACAGATGACGTTTCAATTGCTGGTGCAATGGCAAAAGGTCAAACTTTCGGACTATCAACAAAAATGTCTGAAGATTTTGAAAATTCAGAATTCGATGGAATACTCGGAATGGGTCTTGATCAATTAAGCTCACAAAACGCAAAAACACCTTTCACTCAGCTCGTTGAACAAAAAGCCGTCAAAGATTCAGTTTTTGGTTTCTTCCTCGGACGTCAATCAGATGGCACTGACAGTAAAAGTCAATTAACCCTTGGTGGTGTTGACTCTTCAAAATTCACTGGCGAACTTAAGTATAATAAACTTGTGAGTGATGTTGGTTTTTGGGAAATCGCTTTAGACGATGCTAGCGTTGACGGAAAGCCTCTTAAATTCAGCAAAAAGACTGCTATTATTGATACTGGCACGACACTTCTCATCGCTCCTCCTGCTGACGCTGCTGCTATCCACAAAGCAATTAAAGGTGCCGTTTTTCAACAAGGTGAATACTTTGTCCCATGCAAAACTACCGCTGTTGTTGCTCTTACTTTCGGTGGAGTTACCTATAAAATCTCACCAAAAGATCTTGCTCGTGAAAAAACAAATCAAAATGATATGTGTTTATCTGGTATTGCTGGCGGTAATATCGGTGGAGCTGACCAATGGTTAGTCGGCGATACTTTCCTCAAGAACGTGTATAG